CTTTTGATTTAACTGCTTTTGTCTTTTTGTTTGTTTTCTATTTCACTGATTTCTGCTTATGTATCTATTATATCTGTATTACTACTAAACTTGGGTTTAATTTGCTCTTCCTTTTCTAGTTTTTTTAACGTGGAAGCTGAAGTCATTGATTTGAGATCTTTCTTATATTCTAATAAAGGCATTTAGTGCAATGAATTTCTCTCCAAGTATTTTGTTAGTATCCTACAAATTTTTATATGCTGTGTTTTCATTTTCATTCAGTTCAACATAATTTCTAATTTTCTTTTAATTTCCTCTTGACTCATGGATTATTTACAAGTGGGATATTTTCTTTCTAACTATCTGATAACTGTCCAGAGTTCTTTTTATTATTGATTTCTAATTTGATTCCATTGTAGTCTGAAAACATATTTTGTATGAATTGAATGCTTTTCAATTTAGGGCTTATTTTATGGCCCCAAATATGGTCTATTTTGGTAAATGTTCCATATGGTCTTGAAAAGAATGTGTATTCTGCTGTTGTTGTAGTGTTCTATAAATATGAATTAGGGTAACTTCATTGATAGTGCTGTTCAAATCTTTTATAGTACAGATTTCCTATCTACTTGTTCTTTCACTTATTAAGAGAAGGATATTGAAATCTCCAGCTGTAATTGTGGGTGTCTATTTCTCCTTGCATTTCTAGCTTCATGTATTTCAAAACTCTATTATTAGGTACATAAATGTTTAGGATTTTCATGGCCTCTTGATTAATTGCCTTAATATTATAAAAAGGCCTTCTTTATCTCTGTTACTACTCTTTTGTCTACTTTATCTGATATTAATATAGCCTTTCCAGTTTTCTTTTGGTTAGTGCTAGCATGGCATATCATTTTTCATTCCTTTACTTTTAAATTATATGTGTCTTTATATTTGAAGTGCATATCTTACAGGCAGCATATAGTTGGGTTTTGCTTTTCATCAAATATAACAACCTCTCCCTGTTAACCAAGGTATTTAAACCAGTTACATTTAATTTTTGATTTAAATTGAGGCTTAAGTCTACCATCTTGCTATTTGTTTTTATATGTCCTATCTATTCTTTCTTCCCTCTCCTTTTTCTGCCTTCTTTTGTGTAATCCAGTTTATTTCATTTGCTGGCTTATATTATTCCTTGTTTTGTTATTTAGTGGTTCTATTAGAGTTTATAATACACACCCTTAGCTTATCAGAGTCTACATTCAAGTGCTGGCATATCACATATAATATAGAAACTTTACAATAATATACTTCCACTTTCCCCCTTCCTATCTTGGTTTTGCTGTTATCATACATTTTACTTATACATATGTTTTAGACCAGACACCACATGAGTATTATTTTTGTTTAATTCTCTTTTACAGTGATTTAAATAATAAGAAAATATATTTTATGTTAAGTTTGTATTTCTGGTGCTCTATTTTAAACCTTTAAACCCTTTGTGTAGATCTATATTTCTACCTGGTGTCATTTTCCTTCTACCTGAAGGACTTTACCATTTTTAATTATGTGTGCCTGCTGGTAATGAACTTTTCAGCTTGTGTGTGTCTGAAAAAAATCTTTATTTCACCTTTGTTTTTGAAAGATATTTTTGGCTAGGTATAAAATTTTAGGTTGACAGTTTTGTTTTTTTTTTTCCTTTTAGTACTTTAAAGATGTAGCTCCACTGACCTCTTACTTGCATCACTTCTCACAATAAATCTGCTGTCATCTTTGTTCCTCTAAAGGTAACAGGTCATTTCCCCCTCGCAGGCTGCCTTTAAAATTTTCTTATCACTGGTTTGAAGCAATTTGATTATGATGTGCCTTGGTGTCATTTTCTTCGTATTCCTTGTGTTGGATTTCATTGAGCTTCTTGTATCTGTGGGCTTATAGTTTTCATCAAATTTGGGGGAAAATGGCTATTATTTCTTCAAATAGTTTTTCTTTCCCTTTCTCCTCTTTTCAGGGACTCCAGTTACATATATGTTGGGGTACTTTAATTTATCCCATAGCTTACTGAAGTTATGTTCATCTTTTCAAAACATCTTCATTTTTGACAATTTATCTTGCTGTATCTTCAAGTTCATTGATTTTTTCTTCTGCAGTGGCTAATCTGCTGTTAATCCATGCCCATGTATTTTTCATTTCCGACACTTAAGTCTTCATCTCTAGAAATCTTATTTGTTTTTTTTTTTTTTTTTAAAATCTCTTCCGTTTCTTGACTTACTTTCTGAACATATGGAAAATGGTTGAATAACTGTTTAACGTTCTTGTCTGCAAATTCTATTATCTGTGTCAGTTCTGTATCACTTTTGATTTATTGACTTATCTCCTCATTATGGTTTGTATTTTCCTGCTTCTTTTCATGGCTGGTAATGTTTTATTAGATGCCAGGCATTGTGAATTTTACCTAGTTTAGCACTGGATATTTTTTATTTTTGAAATTTGTTGCAGAACATAGTTAAATTACTTGGAAATCGAGATCCTTTCAGGTTTTGCTTTTAAGATTTGTTAGGTGGTACCACAACAATGCTCAATCCAGGGCTAATTATTTCTCACTACTTAAGCAAGATCCCTCTGTGTATTCTACCCAATACCCCATGTATCTTGAGGTTTTTCAGTCTGGTTCATGGGAACAGGAACTACTCCCAGCCCTGTGTGAGCACCTAGCACTATTACCTCTAATCCTGTTGGTGGTTCTTTGCCTGATCTTGAATAGTTCTCTCTACATGCTGATCAGTACACAACTGACTACTTGAGTGGGAACCTCTACAGATCTCCTGAGTTCTCTCTCTGTGCAACTCTATCCTCTCTGCTACTCCATCCTGCAAATTCTAGCTACCTTTGTCTCCCTAGACTCTCTGATCTACCTTTGTCTCCCTAGACTCTCAGATCCATCTTCTTAACTCAGGGAGTAAACCAGACTTTGCACAGGTTTCCCCTTCCTGTGCTGTGGCCTGGAAACTCTCTAAAGTCAACAAGCTGGGGCAATCATAGGGCTTATTTCCTTTGTTTCCTGTCTTTCAGTGTTCATCGTACTTCATTGCCTGAGGTCCAGTGTCTTGCTAAATGTTACTTTGTCTGTTGTTGTTGTTTTTTAAATTTTTTCAAGCAGGAGGGTAACTCTCATCCCTTACCTCACCTTGGCCAGGAGGCAAAGTTCCATCATTAATCTTAAAAAATATTTCAGAAAAATACTGCTGGTATAAAGCACTGGACTTAAATAATTTCTGTGTTGATTTCATGTCAAATACATGCCTATTTTTTCCCCCATGTCATATAAAAAGAGATGATTCATAATTAGGTACATATGACAGCCAGATGATGTGAATATGGTCAATCTCTAAGGCTGAATGGAACCCATGCTCCCATGGATGCATAATCTAAAGTCTCCCTGGAATTTGACACAGGATTTCACACAAGCCACTCCTCAACCATACCTTCCAGAACCACTCTAGTCTTTATCTGGATTCCCAGTGATGACTAGAGTGACATAGCAAGTTGAACACTGTACATTTGTTAATTGAATGATGTGTTGTTCTCTCATCCAAGTCCCAAAACAACATCCAAAGTATCATTTCTTTAAAATCAAATTGTTCCTATCTTAATTAAAAATATTTTGTTAAAAATATCAAGTTTTACTAAACTTATATATAATCTCTTAAAGTATTCTCAATCAAAATGTTATATAGTATAATAAAAGTCTGATTTTATCACTATTTGGTGTGAACTAAACTATAACACTCTTATGTTTGTAAATCCTCTGAGAAAATTTTCAGTAGAGTCTAATTTGTAACATTTGCAATTTTTAAATAAACTTTATTTTTAACAAGAGTTTTAGTTCTACAGAAAAATTGGGAAGATAGTACAAAGAGTTTCTATACACCCCACATTCAGTTTCACTTACTACTAACATCATACCTTAGTATGGTACGTTTATTACAATCAGTGAATCAATATTGATATATTATCATTAAGTCTATAGTTTATTCAGATTTCTTCAGTTTTAACCTAATGTCCTTTTTCTATTCCAGGATCCTATCCAGGTTCCCACATTACATTTAGTTGTTATGTCTCCTGAGGCTCCTCTTGGCTGTGACATTTTCTCAGATTTTCCTTGTTTTTGATGACTGTTATAGTTTCGCGGAGCCTCTAAATTTGAATCCGTATAATTTTTCTTAGTCATGATTATATTGTGGTTTTCGGTCTTTGGCGAAAAATACACATAAAGTGCCATTTTCATTACATCATATCAACAGTGCATATGATTATCACTGTTGATCACCTGGCTGAGGTAGTGTTTGTCAGGTTTTTCCACTGTAAAGTTACTTGTTTTTGCCTATTTCTATATTGTACTCTTTGGCAAGAAGTCACTATGTGCAGCACACACTTAAAAAAGTGGGGAGTTACATTCTACCTCCTTGAGAGTAGAGTATGTAGATAATGAATTATTTGGAATTATTTGGGAGATTTGTTTTTTCTTTCCCATTTATTTATTCAGTCATTTATTGATATTACAATGGACTCATGCGTATTTATTTTCTACTTTGTGTTATAATCCAGTATTACTTTACTTGATTGCTCAAGTTGTTGCAGCTTGACTATTGGAAGCTCTCTCAGTTAGCTCCTAAGACATTTATAATTTTTCAATCTACAATAAAATCTTTGAAATGACTATCCTACCCAGTGATGACATTACTCCTTAAGGTTAAGTTAGGTATTTAGGGAAATACTTTACGTTCAGGTAATGCATTAAATGGTATTCTGGTGGTCTGAAGGAATTCATCTGACAGGAAGTAAAGACTAGGGAGAAAGAAGAGTAGGGATAGAAGTACCCATTGTGTAGTAAAATATTTTAAGAAACTAATGAAATAGAAAGAACCACCAAGCTGGTCCCAGAAACTGACACAATTGTAAGAAATAATGAAATGGTTGTTTAAGCCAAAAACAAAAACAAAAACAAAAAGAAACTAATGAAATAGAAGCTAAAAAATCCAAACCTTTTAAAGCAAATCTGTAAATGGCTTCACATGCTTTAGCCAAAATTTCTTCTTCTGGAGAATTAAGCATTAACACCACAGTTGCTGCTTTTTTGCTTTCAATTGTTAATGGATCAAACTGAAATGCAAAGAGAAAAATAAGAGGTTCACATAAGAGCTTTAAAAATCACATAAAAAATGGTGTCTCAAAACTTAAAAAGAACATAATCTTTCAAAAAGGATATGGTCAGTGCTCGCTAAGAATGCTGTAAAGTTTTTATTTAAAAACAAACACACACACACACACACACACACACACACAAAACCAAAAAAAAAATCACTGGTAGAGAGACAATTTTCAATACTGGTGTCCTTGGAATTCCTGTATGGTGGAAAGAGCAAAGGGTTTTGAAATCTGACAGATCTAGTCTCTAAATTTAGCCATGTAGAATCAAACATATTTTTTAAGCCCCTAGAATTTTAGTTTCTTATTTTTACAATGGGGCTAATACCTGTCTCAAGGGATCAAGGAGAGAGGATTAGAGATCATATATGTAAAGCACTTAGCCCATTGTCTGGCACATAGCAGATGCCCATTAAATAACACATATTATTTTTAATTGTTAGTCAATATACAAGAATTATTGAATACCTGTACATACTAGATGACCTGAGAGTTTCAATAATACCTACTTTCCAATCACTGGAGCCCTAGTGGCACAGTGGTTAAGCTTTCAGCTGCTAACCAAAAGGTTGGCAGTTCAAATCCACCAGCCACTCCTTGGAAATCCTATGAGACAGTTCTACTCTGTCCTATAGGGTCACTATGAGTCAGAATCAACTTGATGACAATGGGTTTTTTTGTTTTTTCCAACCATTAGACTCTTTCTGCGAAGGCTAGAATTATATATTAGAAACACCTAAAATACAATACCAAACTGCACATAACAAAATGCAAAATCCAATAGAATCTGGATCGGGAGAAGTGGTAATACAACATAAAGAAGAAGTACAGGACTCTAAGGGAGAAGAGCTGGGTGCTGCTGTGAAATCTTGAGAATTCATGTGTAACAGAATTATAAATAATAAAACCTACAGCCCTGGAAGCTTTCTTAGGTAAAGGAGAAAACAAATTATTACACTATTCTTCTATTTCCAGAGACTGGTGGAGGAGGGAGTTCTGCCTATATGAAAGAAACAAATATCTGTAATTTCAAAGCTGGTTCTTTGTGTTGGCCCTTCCTATAAGAATATCTTACTATCATTTCAATTATAAAAGCACCTGAAATTTAGCCTTAGGTAAGGGATGGAACGAAAGATGGCTCTGCATAGGGAAACAGAATCTATTTAAAGTAGCTCTGTCACTCTTCATCCCTACCCTACTTTCTTCATTGATCTAATCACACTACCTGACTTATTTTATTTGTTAATTGATGTGAGTATGTCATGATCTTCACAGAATGATTACAATTCTCAAAGGAGTAGAGTACACTGAAATACATTCAGACAAAAACTACGGCAAATACCATTTAATCTTTCTTCGATAGTTTAAAAACACGGCAGCATTTTGCCATGTCTTTCAGTCATCACTAAGAAAACAGTAATATGGGACACTAGAAGTTTAAAGGGAAAGTTAAAACTGTGAGAATTACAATATAAAGAGCTGTTAAGGAGGAGAAAGACCAATGTTTGGCAGAGAATGGAGAAACTTGGCATGACATTTGTTTCTCCTACAGAGCCTACAGCATTATAGCAATTTTTTATTTAAAAAAGCACTGAGAATAAAATGATAGCTATAACAGAATGCCACATGACTAAACAAATAATACTTTGCTGTAATTACATATCCCATCTGCTTTCCTATGAGGAAGTCACAGTCACCAACAAGCTTGTTGTGAAGTTATAATTCCACACTCTGTACAAAATAAATGATTAACCAAAATTATTTACAAAAAGAATGAAAGAAAGGGGAAGCATTTTGGCTAAGCTTTGACTTTCAAGCCCAATCATTTAGAGAGGCCATAGACTTACAGAGATATTTTCATGTCTTTGTTAAGGAAATAAGACTGTCTAGAATAGTGCTATCCAGAACAGTGCTAGGAGCCCTGGCGGCGCAGTGGTTCTGCGCTCAGCTGCTAACCAAAAAGTTGGCAGTTTGAACCCAATGGCTGCTCCGTAGGAGAAAGATGTGGCAGTCTGCTTCCAAATAGACTACAGCCTTGGGAACCCTATGGTGGCAGTTCTACTCTGTCCTATAGGGCCACTGTGAGTCAAAATTGACATGACAGTAATGGGTTTGGTTTTGGCTTTTAGAATAGTGCTGTCCAATAGAATTTTCTGTAAGGATAAAAATGTTCTGTATTCTGCTCTGTCCAATATGCAAACACAAGCTACATGTTGCTTTTGAGTGCTTAAAATGTTACTAATGCAGAGAGGAGCTGAAATTTTCATTTTATTTAACTTTATAATTTAAATAGCCACATTTGGCTAGTGACTACATTAGACAGTAGAGGTCTAAAAGAATACAAAATTATAAAACTGAACTCAGGGAAAATACATAGATCATGACAGGTGAGTGATTTTGAAGAGGTCAGTGTTGTTATGTGCCAAGAGTTAATTCAGACTCATAGTGACCCCATGTGACAGAGCAGAACTGCCCCATAGAGTTTCATAGGCTGTAATCTTAACAGGAGCAGATCACCAGATGTTTTTTCCTCAGAGCCCCTGGTGGATTTGACCTCCGACCTTTTGGTTAGCAGTCAAGTGCTTAACCATTGCTGCACTAGGGCTCCTTTAAGGTACCAATAAGCGCTAATAATAGGCTTTTGTGATTTCTTTTTTTTTTTTTTCCTCTTTTCGTTTTTTATTGTTGTAGTTTAAATGAAGTTTACATTTCAAGTTAGTTTCCCATACAAAAATTTATACATACATTGTTATGTGACCATACTGTGACAGCACACTCCTCCTTTCCAACCCTGATCTCCCATGTCCATTCAACCAGCAACTAACCCTCTCTGCCTTCCCATCTCACCTCTGGACAGAAGGTGCCCGTTTAGTCTCCTGTATCTATTTGAGCTAAGAGGCACACTCCTCACGAGTACTACTTTATGCCCCACAGTCCAGTACAATCCCTGTCTGAAGAGTTGGCCTCGGAAATTGTTTTAGTTCTGGGCTGATAGAGAATCTGGGGGCCATGCTTTCCAGGTTTCCTCCAGTCTCAGACCATTAAGGCTGGTTTTCTTACTAGAATTTGAGTTCTGTACCCCACCCGTCTCCTACTCCATCAGGGACTCTCTGTTGTGTTCCCTGTTAGGGCAGTCATTGGTGGTAGCTGGGCACCATCTAGTTCTTCTGTTCTCAGGCTGATGAAGTCTCTAGTTTATGCGGCCCTTTCTGTCTCTTGAGCTAATACTTACCTTATGTCTTTGGTGTTCTTCATTCTCCTTTACTCCAGGTGGTTGAGACCAGTTGATGCATCTTAGATGGCCGCTTGCAAGCTTTTAAGACTCCAGACACCACTCACCAAAGTAGGATGCAGAACATCTTCTTAATAAGCTTTGTTATGCCAATTGACCTAGATGTCCCCTGAAAGCATGGTCCCCGGACCCCTACCCCTGCTACTCTGTCTCTCAAAGTGTTTGACTGTATTCAGGAAACTTCTTAGCTTTGATTTAGTCCAGTTGTGCTGACTTCCCCTGTAGTGTGTGCTGTCATTCCTTTCATCTAAGATAATTCTTATCTACTATCTAGTTAGTAAATAACCCTCACCCTCCCTCCCCACCCTCGTAACCATCAAAGAATGTTTTCTTCTGTGTTTAAACCTTTTCTTGAGTTCTTTTAATAGTGGTATTATACAATAATTGTCCTTCTGTGACTGATTAAATTCACTCAGCATAATGCCCTCCAGATTCATCCATGTTATAAGGTGTTTCACAGCTTCACTGTTGTTCTTTACCATCGCGTAGTATACCATTATGTGGATATACCATAATTTGTTTATCCATTCGTCCACTGATGACCACCTAGGTTGTTACCAACTTTTTGCTATGGTGAACAGTGTTGCAATGAATGTGAGTATGCATATATCTATTCGTGTGACAGCTCTTATTTCTCTAGGATATATTCCAAAGAGCAGGATAGCTAGATCGTATGGTACTTCTATTTCTAGCTTTTTAAGGAAGCGCCAAATAGATTTCCAAAGTGGTTGTACCATTTTACATTCCCACCAACAGTGTATAAGTGTTCCAGTCTCTCCACAACTTCTCCAGCATTTATTTTGTGTATTTTGGATTAATGCTAGCCTCGTTGGGGTGAGATGATATCTCATTGTAGTTTTGATCTGCATTTCTCTAATGGCTAATGATCATGAGCATTTCTTCATGTGTCTGTTAGCCACCATAATATCTTCTTTGGCGAAGTGCCTGTTCATATCATTTGCCCATTTTTTAATTGGGTTATTTGTTCTTTTGTTGTTGAGGTTTTGCAGTATCTTGTACATTTTAGAGATTAGATGCTGATAGGATTTGTCATAGCCAAAAATTTTTTCCCAGTCTGTAGGTTGTGTTTTTATTCTTTTGGTGAAGTCTTTTGATGAGCATAAGTGTTTGATTTTTAGGAGCTCCCAGTTATCTAGTCTCTCTTCTAGTACTTGTGCATTGTTGCTTATGGTTCATATTCTGTTTATACCATGTATTAGGGCTCCTAGCATTCTTCCTATATTTTCCCTCCGTGATCTTCATCATTTTCAATCTTATATTTAAGTCTTTGATCCATTTTGAGTTAGTTTTTGTGCGTGGTGTGAGGTATGGTTCCTGTTTCATTTTTTTGCAGATGGATATCCAGTTATACCACCACCATTTGTTAAAGAGACTGTCTTTTCCTCAATTAATGGACTTTGGGCCTTTGTCAAATATCAGCTGCTCATAGGTGGATGAATTTATGTCTGGATTCTCAGTTCTGTTCCATTGGTCTATGTATCTGTTGTTGTACCAATATCAGGCTGTTCTGACTACCGTGGCAGTAAAATAGTTTCTAAGATCAGGTAGTGTGAGGCCTCCCACTTTGTTCTTCTTGAATAATGCTTTACCTATCTGGGGCCTCTTCACCTTCCATATGAAGTTGGTGATTTGTTTCTTCATC